TATGCTAATGGCAATGATGCAAATTGCCTGGGCCCGTGTTATAATGCAGCTTTACGAAACAGCATCCATCCCCAGGATGGGAGCGCGGGGCCAGATCTGATCTGGCAGCCTGACCGCGCATCTGCGGTAGCGCTGCTCTGCCGATCCGACAGGTTCCTGCTTCCTCGCCGAGTGGGAGGATGCTCCAGGTTGTGCAGGGTTAATCGAGGATCTGGTTTCGGGCACTGCACAGACCTGCTGTGTCTGGGGAGGCATCTGCGGGTCGTACCTTGCTTCTGCTGCTGCAGAGGCTTCCCTGCCTGGGGGTCCTCGTGGCCAGCCAGCACAGGGAGAGCTCCACTTTGGAAGCATCTGTGCAGCTTCTTATGAAGCATCAAGCTCCCTGATTTTTCCTGTTAGTACCGTGGTGCTTGCTGAACTGCCAGAGCTCGTCTGTAGGCTGTGACACTGGGAACCTTTGCAGCTTTCACGTGTGGTAGCACGTTAGTACGTGATCTGGAAGCTCTTGGAGTGAATGAAAAGGCTCCCATTGAGGTTGGGGGCAGGCAGGGGGATGAATGGTCCTTGGCAGCAAGGAGCCACTTTACTGATAGTGTGTCGGCAGTTCCTAGTAGGTGTCACACGGCTGAATTCCTCCTCGGCACGCTTAATATTTGCCACTAGCTCAGGCCCAAGTGCTCACATTCCTGTTTTATTAGCTGAAGACACAACCCACTCCAGAAGAGCAAATAAAAACCTGACCCACCTCTGGGTTGTGCAAGGACTGAGTACATGAAGAAACACTGCGTGTTTGTGTCCGGCATGCCAGGGAGCCCAGGGCGGTACGTACAGCAGTGTGCTGTCCGCTGGGCAGGCACCCAGGGGCCGCTCAGGGGGAGATAATTGGGGCAGTGAGGAGCTGCGGGGGAAGCTCCTGGGTTCCCTTTTGAGCTCATGCTTTTGTCAGTCATCATGCGGAGCCATCAATAGTAAATGCACATCCACAATACAGCTTTAGAGAAAAGCGAGACTGTCAGTGTTTCTGTCTTTCTGCTCTGGGGACTATTCGTGAGTTGGCACAACTGTCATCTGTGATGGGTGTCACACAGCAGTGACCCCAAGGCCCTGCTTCACGCTGCGCTCACCCAGGGTGTGAGAGAGGGCCCAGGAGAGCCAGCAGCGGGGAATTACAGTCTGGGGACCATGGTTGGGGGCTGGAGGCCCTGTTAGGAGACAAGGGAGGTCTGTGGTAGACCCCCAGGAGTTGGTTCGTGACTGTTAAACATAATTTACTCCTTTGTCATCAGTGTGTTCTGCCTAGGCAGGGCCAGCATCCTCTGCCAAGCAGCCACCGGTGGCTCCTGGGTGCAGCCGGCACTGGTGGAGTCTCCTCTCCCTGAGCTCCCCAGGCAGATGACACCAGTCCAGGGCCATGCCGGGCAGGTGGGAATGGCTCTTCTCTTTGTGTTAGTGCCCCGTGTCCTGTTACAGCGCTGAAGACTGTCTTGGGTTACAGGGGGGGTGTGCAGTGTCAAGTGATCGTGCCTTGCAGGCTGCCGCTGTTCAGCACCGCGTTTCTCCAGTTTAGCTCATGCTACACTCAGCTTCTCCAAAATCCCTTTTCCATCCCTGTGCCCTGACAAGTTTTGGTCTTTCCCAGAAATGCATGTATTGGGGATGGGGTGGGCAGGTCAGAGCCAGCTGGCTGGGTCTCAGAGGTGTGGGTGTGAGATGAGCGCTGCCCTCCTGCCAGGCTGGCATCTCACACCCCTCTGCAGTGCCCCTCCATGTCTCACCCCTCTGCTCTGTGGCCCTGCTGGGGTCCAGCCTGGGTTTGGATCTGCCGGGCACTTCTGTGCCCCAGCACTTGAAGTGAAAGGCAAAGACACCCGAGGAGCTGGCCAGGGCTGCTGGAAAGCGGCTGAGCACCGCAGGGGCAGACGCTGCCACAGAGCCATTTCCTTCCTGCAGCCCCATGAGAAATCCACTGTAATCATTCAACTGCCCTCGGCTCTGTGTGGCTTCTCATGGTTACACTGCCTGACCCGTCACGAGAGACAGCGCTGTCTGGTGAACCATGAAAGCTGCTTAGATGAACGCCTGCAGAAGTCCACCTGGGTGTCACTGCGGGAAGGGGTGGCAGAAGCCCGCTGTGGAAAGCACTGTGGAGAAACACTTCCTTCCAGCCCTTCCCTTGGCTTCTGCCAGAGCCACACTGATTTCTCCCCCACAGCCTTTCATCTAGGTTCAGAACAGACGCCAGTAAGTGGAGAAGCAGCTTCATTTATTTATGGTATGCATTAACATTTACTCAGCTGGTTGCTGTGCATTGAGTAAGGTGGCAACTTGATAGGTGCC